AAGACCAGCCTCTGGTCAACAAAGTGAGACCTCGTCTATACAAAAAATAGAAAATTAGCTGGGCAGAGGTGCGAGGATCACTTAAGTCTAGAAATTTAAGGCTATGATGAGCCAGGATTGTGCCACTGTACTCTAGCCTGGGGGACAGAGTAAAACTCTGTCATACACACACACACACAAAATAAAATAAAATAAAATTTTTAAAATGTCTTCACGTCACAAGCCTACTAATTCCTTCTATAAAAATAGTGGCCTGGGAAAACTCAACGTGTAGCAGAAAAACAAAACACTAACATGCAGTCTACTGGCATTGTCAATAAATAATTAGTCTTGCAATATGGGGTACAAAAATATAGCCATTTAAAACAGAATTGTTTGTATTCTCTGTCCAACCAGAAGAAAAAATGTCTATGGGTGAAATAAAAACAAACAATTTAGCAATTTTGAAATCCAACATAGAGGGCTGTTGTTGAATGTCTTTGTAGACATAACATAGAGAAACTGGATTTGCCAAACTCAGGAAAATTGACTTGGCTGTCAGAATTGTGGCGTCAAAGCCCCATAAATAAAAACTGAGATCTGGGCCTACAGAAAATCCTGACAGTACCAATAGGCAGATCTACGTTTTTTCCAAAGAAATATATTTTGTTTATTTATATTGTTTTTGCTAGTAAAAATTATAATGAAATTTCAGTTTGATTTCAGTCCTCAATAATGAAAATGTGGCAATCATATGAAGATACAGATAAAGATAAAAAAAGGTGGAGAAAATAGTAAGTGCTAAGACTGCAATAAGAACAAAATTTAAGCTAAGAAAAGACAAAATCAGATGCACGTTTTAGAAAGATGTCTGTCTGCATTACGGAAAATACATGGAAGTATCCAAAAATGGAAATAAGATGCTCTTTTAAGGAGCTACTAGAGTAATTTAGGCAAGAGATGATGGTAGCTGGACAATGGAAACAGAAAGAATAAATTAAGGAGACATTTAAAAGGGAACAGCAATATAATTTGGATTAAAAAAAACCCTACACAAATACTGAGGTGACATTTGCTGACCTTAAATTCCTAAAACAGTGTGAGTTATTTGTTCAGAAAAAAAAAAAATCCCCAAAGAGGGGAAAATTTGTGGGATAGTGGTTGTGGTTTGGGACTTTAAAGCTAACATGGGCTATTTAGTCAAAGATGTTTCCAATGTGTAGCCATTTGACGCCCTCCAGGAACAGTCTCAGGTAGTCTTTCTAAGGAAATAGCATCCTGAACTTGTTCCACATCTGCCCCAAAAGAGAAAGTTCTAACCAAGTTTTTTGCTTTCCAGTTTTTCTGCTCATATTCACACATGTACTGGTTCTTCAGTGGGGGAAGAAAAGGCATACCAATACACTGCAGAGTTTATTAATACAGATTCTGAAGCCTCTACTCTAGAAGATTGTATTAAAATTATTTGAACTGGGTCATCTGATCTTCAGTTTAGCAGATGCCCTGGGTTATTCATCTACGTGATGAGTTTGTCACTATGTTAAGCATTTTCACAAACACTGCCCTCCTTAATTTGTCAAGTCTTATATAATCTTAAGAGGCAGGTACTAATATGATAACCTTTTTATGGAGGTTGAATAACTTGTTGACGGTTCTTTATCTAGTAAATGAAGGCATGAGCTTGATAACTAGATGGTATGACAGACACACACATGACTTTCTACCCAGATACACACCAGCTCACAGTCATATGCAAAGAAAGCACTCCAAGAAGTGTTAATTCAAAGATATGGACAGAATTAATGGAAACTTCTTCACCCTCTTCCCTTGAGGGTGAGAAGAGAAAGTATCATGTCCCTAAGGCCCTATTTACTTTATTCCCACAATGAACAGTGAGCACAGAAAATAAATGGGCAGGGAATCAACATCTTTATCAGTCCTTCTTTTCTGTTCCACTCATTTTTTCTGTTGGTGAGTCTGCTTCCTTGCAGATTTTCTGTGTGTCTGTCAGCACACACTTCTTTCTCCTTGTCCTGATCCCCAAGATTCAGTGAGTATTGGCTGTTTGAAGGAGTGTTGCCTGTTGGGACAAGATTTGAAAAGAGAGAGAATATGTGAAAAGTCAGGGCTCTATTTCCTAGAGGCCATGAACTGGGCTCTGTAATGTTCTTCCTATAAATTGAGATAATGGATTCCAGTACTTGTGCATAGGCCCCATTGAATGAGCACCAAAAAGATCATCATAGATTGACAATTATACAGCTGGGTTAACTATGGCTACTTATTGTACTGTTCAGACAATTTCTGTGTCATATGACAGGAATCCATAGCCCTAACCTAAAGAGTAGGATTAATTGGCTGGTTATGTGTGTATGCCTAGGGGTGCTCTTATTAGTTTTTATGCATCTGTTTCTGTTTTCTTCTTCACTGTGTGTTATGACTGCTAATCATAATACTAATGATATAAAATGCAACATAATAAAAAGAAGTAAAATGTTGCATGCTTACTATGTTCCAGGCACTGCATTAAAGTGTATTTTGAGGTGTGTCTTCTTTTGTTCAAATAATCACTGTAAAAATTAGAGATAAAATTTTTAAAAACTGAGGAACTCAAGGATCACGTAGTTCAAATAGCTTTCCCAAATTCACAGTTAGTAAATTGCAAAACCAGAAATAAGTTAAATTGTGGAACATAACTTTCTGGGGCTCCAGAGCACACACTCTGTGCCAATGTTTTATTAAGATACTGTGAACAACTATGTGTATGTGTACGCCTCTACTATAATACCATTATCATATCAAATTACTTTGCATCATTTAATAACTAGTTTATATTTACATGTCCCTAATAATTCACTGAATTCTATACCTGGTGTGTTTAAACAGAATCCAATCAAGAACCGCATTACTTTTGGTTATTCATTTTCTTAAATTATTTTTAATCTTGTAATAAATGTTCCACATATGATACCCCATCTTCTTTTTAAAAATGTCATTGAATTATTGAAAGAAGAAAAAACTATGTTGTAATTGTCCCACTTTGTGCATTTGTCTGATTGTAGAATGACAAGTCTTAGAGTTAATTTTTTACATGAGCACCCATGTGTGTTTGTGAATACTTTTGATGACTGCATAAACATCTGTTGTATTTGAGTATATAGAAAGATAAAAAACTGGAGAAGACATTTGCCCACATATGTATGAATAAAGGATGGCCTCAGACAAGCTGGGCAAGCTGTGATTCAAAATCTATGATTTTAGGATATGGATGTCATATGTTGTGCAGGTATGTAAGAATCTTAGAAGAGAGGTTTTCAACATTGAGACTGAACAACTTCATCAGGTCTCTAATGTTAGGGAAATTATATGCTCCCATTGGATAAGAGAACCAAGATAATGATAACTAAGCTAGAAAACATGAATCCTCAGCAGATGGGGGTCTGGACTATGTTCTCAGAACCTAGAATGTATAAATTGTGGAAACACTGTGGAGGAGTTTGAGTTGCTATAAGAAAGGTGCTTTTACTTGTAGATGGAGAAGGATGAGAAAGAAAGAAAGAAAGAAAGAAAGAAAGAAAGAAAGAAAGAAAGAAAGAAAGAAAGAAAGCATCCTACATTTCTTGTCAAAAGCAGAAGAGTGGAGAAACTAAGGCTTGATCTTTGGGATGAAAGATAGTGAGCTGGACCTAAGAATAAGAGTAAAAGTGAAGATAGGGATAAGGTTGAACATAATTCTTTTTTTTTTTTTTTTTTTTTTAGGTTAAGAAAGTAAGGCATATGGCCATCAAAAACCTTGTCTTAGTGCTGATCCTGGAAGTCCTTGGCCTTAATGCATGGTTGGTTACCTGTGGAGTATAAATAACTTTTTATGTAAATTCAATGGTGTAAAGGAGATGAGCATTTGGGGGAAAGGGAGAAGATATTGAACTTACTCTTTAAAAGATAAATTTTCAGAGGCGAGGTTTTAGGAATTTACAAAGTATATGGCAATGACAAAATTCAACTATGAATTATTTTGTTTATGTTTTCCTTGTACATGTGTATATGTTTGCCTGTGTGTATATGAAAGAGAGAATGAGAGAAGGCTTATAATTATGTGAGATTATGTGTGGACAAATATATGGTGACAAAATAAATGACAGAATATAAGTATAGATCAGGATATGCTTGAGAATGTAAGTATTAAGGTTCTGTGTATGTTGAAGAATGTGTCATCGGTAATTTTGTCTATCTAGCAAAATGTATGTTTATGAATAAATAATCCTGTTTTGGACAGAAATCTTGACTGATAGTGTCACTAAGTCCAAAGAATTAGGATATTATACACTTGTATAGCATATAGAGAACGGGAAAACTATTATTATTGTTATTATTATTTTTGAGGAGAAAGGGCCCATGAACCTCAGCTATTGGAGACTTCAAATTCAAATTTATGTTTTACATGTTATCCAGCATAGCAGAAACTCAGCTAACGTTTGCTAAACTGAATTAAGTTTTTGAATGGCAATGAAGGGGTGTTGACTTTACAAATCTAAGAGTCATAATAATCAGATAGCTTTGAAAGAAATAAATGTAGTCTTTGGGCTGAAATCAATATTCCATAACGCCATAACAAGTAGATCTTAACCAATGATGTTCACAAAGTCATAAGCTATAATGCACTAACCCATGAAAAAGTATACCTTATACATTGTTAATTTTTATGGAAGGACCATGTATAAAGAAGCATGTAGCTAGTATAGAAGGCTTCCTAAAGAAGTTGTGTAAATAGGAGATGTCTAGAAGAAACAAGAGATTATCTATAGGCTGACTAGCAATACATCTAGATATGTCTGGGACATTCTTGGTTTATGCACGTTGCTATCACTATTATTAATTTCAACTTTTGTTCATTTCAAAGGAGTCTTGCTTGAAGACCAGTCTATCTTTAGGAGTCTATTATGATGATTGGTTGGAAGTGAGAGTGACTCAAGTTTCTCTTTTTTTCTCAGGACTTGGGACTTGTGACATCTTGGTCTGCCATGACCATTTTCAACCTGAGCAGTTACAACCCAGGACCCTTCATTCTGGTGGGAATTCCAGGCCTAGAACAATTCCATGTGTGGATTGGGATTCCCTTCTGCATCATCTACATTGTAGCTGTTATGGGAAACTGCATCCTTTTATACCTCATCATGGTGGAGCGTAGTCTTCACAAACCCATGTTCTTCTTTCTCTCCATGCTAGCCATGACTGACCTTATCATATCCACAGCTGCTGTGCCTAAAACACTCAGTATCTTTTGGCTGGTGGCTCGGAAAATCACATTCCCAGGGTGCCTTACACAAATGTTCTTCCTCCACTATAGTTTTGTTTTGGATTCAGCCATTCTGATGGCCATGGCATTTGATCGCTATGTGGCCATCTGTTCTCCCTTGAAATACACAACTATCTTGACTCCCAAGACCATCATCAGGATTGTATGGGCATCTCTTTTCGGAGCTTCTGCATCATCTTTCCAGTTGTATTCTTGCTGATACGACTGCCTTTCTGCAGGACACACATCATACCCGACACATTCTGTGAGCATATAGGTGTTGCCCGACTTGCCTGTGCCGATATCTCCATCAATATTTGGTATGGTTTTTGTGTTCCCATCATGACCATCATCTCAGATGTGATTCTCATTGCCACTTCCTATACTCTCATCCTCTGTACTGTCTTTCACCTCCCCTCTCAAGATGCCCGCCAGAAGGCTCTTGGCACCTGTGGTTCCCATGTCTGTGTCATTCTTATGTTTTATACACCTGCCTTTTTCTCCATCCTTGTCCATCGCTTTGGACACAATGTTTCCCGGACATTCCACATCATGTTTGCCAACCTAAGCATTGTTATTCCACCTGCACTCAACCCCATTGTCTACGGAGTGAAGACCAAGCAGATCAGAGAAAAGGTCATACTTTTGTTTTCTACCAAGGGTACAGAATGATGTTTCACTGAACAATGGAAAAGCCAGGATACATTTATAGTGTACAGAAAAGTAGTAAGAATGGAAAAGTAAATAATATTTAAAGCAAAAACTTCCTGAAGTTGTTTTGTTTGCCTGAAAAGTGGCAAAAATGTGATGAAAGAAATGGTCCTATTAAAAAAAAATCCTTGGTGAACTCTTTGACTGTGAAATAGGAGGTTGCACAGGATATGATGTCAGGAAGAAGAAGGTGAAAACAGAAAGTTGAGTTACTCTAAATGGAAAAAGCAAAACTTTGGAAACAAGGGTTTGCAACTATGATGAATGAGAACTATATTAAGTAAAATAGAGACACTGCAGACAGGAGACTAAAAGTAAAAATTTGAGAGAAATTTCTTAAACGTTGAAAAATGGTTATTTAGATCATTTATAATATTTTATTGTAATTATTTTATTTTATTGTAACCATTTTATAATTCACTGTAATTCCTTTTAAATGTTTCATCCTCACACACAGATAAAATTTTTTTAAAAAGTTAAAAGTCCTCAGCTCAATATCATACAAATAACAAATTATATCAACAGGGCTATAATGGGAATGAGATAATTAGAATAGTAATCAATGCCAGGATTGCTTGCTTTGGTGCTGGGAGAGAAGAGTAGCTTCCAGACTCAAAGATACATTGAACTGCAGAGGTAGTACAGTGAGAACATAAACAGAGATCTAGGAAGAGACCTGGACTTTCCACAGTACACAGATAATACCTCAAGCCAGTCCATTTAGAAACACTAAAAGAAAAATTCAGCCACACAGGTTGGAGGACTTGTAGAGAGCTCTAGTCTCTAAATTGTGATTCCTTGATTACAACAAAGAATCAATTACAAGACACATTTCAACAGTGAGAAGGTAGAATGAGGAAGGGAACAGACACTGCAATAAAGAAACACATCCATGGTACTACGCATCCACGTTTCATAAGCATTAGAACTAAGGAAATACTATATGTTGTGATCAAAGAGAGAGCATATAAGCATAATTATAGCCCATTATGAAATGTGGAGCTGATTTATACCAGTGGTACTCAACCCTATCCTCAAGAGCTGGTTTCTGAGAGGCGGTCTTAAGGTGTACCTCAAGACTTGAGTGAAGAAGTCCCTTGTCTTCTTTCTCTACAACTATAGCAGATCTGACATTATCTGGTTTTGTTTGTGCATCCGGTACCTATAGTAAGATTCTACCTGAAAAATAGAGTTATTCCAATAAATCTTGTGAAAATTATCCATTCATATGGAAAATATTTATTGAGTACCTTCTATATTTCAGATATTGTTCTAATCATTTAAGATTATGCAGGCTGACATTACAGAGAAGGCGCTACCTTGCTTCTATGGTGCTTATATTCTAGGAGAGGGACAAATAAGGAAGAAAACAAAGAAATTAATTCATCATTTTAAAAATTGCCACAGAGTAGATTAAAAAGTAAGGCTGGCAAAAACAAGGCCAGTGTGACTGCGACCAAGTGAGCCAAAAAAGGAGATAGGAGAAGAGGGAAGGAGGAGGCCAGGGACAGATCCTGTGGGACTCAAGTTATCCAAATCTCATCTTCAGAAGAAGAAACCGAAGTATACAGAATGGAAGTAACTTTTCCAAGGTATGCAACAAGGAAGTTATAAATGTGGAACTAAAATTCAATCTGTTGACTCCCAGTTCAGTGATATTTCCATTAAACACAGCCTCATGCTTATAAAAATATACTCCAAAGGAAGGAAAAAAAATAGGAATGTCAGAACCTATATTTAGTGTTGTTATGAACTCTAGTTATCTTTTAAAATTGAAATAAATTTACTTTTTAGTTATTTCTAATTTTTGAATGAAGAAGTAATGCTTAAATATTGTTATGGAATACAATGTCATGTTATTATACATGTGTACATTGTGAAATTATTAAATAAGGCTAATTAACATATTCATCACTTCACACATCATTTTGTTGTGATAAGTATTAAGTTAAGAAAATGGGCAGGCCGGGCTCGGTGGCTCAGCCTTTAATCCCAGCCCTTTGGGAGGCCGAGGTGAGTGGATTGCCTGAGTCCGTGGGTTTGAGACCAGCCCGGGCAACTTGGCGAAACCTCATCTCTACAATAAATAAAAATTAGCCAGGCATGGTAGTGAGTGCCTGTAGTTCTGGCTACTTGGAAGGCTGAGGTTGAAGGATCGCCAGAACCCAGTAGTTCGATGCTGGGGTGGCCATGAGTGTGCCATTGCACTCCAGCCTCGGCCATGGAGTGAGGTTTCATCTCAAAAAAAGAAAAAAAAGGAAAAAGGAAAAGACACGGACAAATAAAAATAAGACGAGAGGCAGGCAGCTCAACAGTAACACAGATTTATTTCAAAGAAAGACCCGCAGAGTGGGGCGCCAGATGAGATTGGAGCTGGAGTCCCGCTTACAGCCTAGAGGCAATTATAGTGGGTAGGTGGGTGGGTGGGGGTGTGCCTTTAGCTATTTTGGATGGGGAATTTTTTGCCTTTAGCTTGTTTCTAGTGTAGTTATGGAAGAAGCTTTAAGGTTAAACCAGCTGCTGCTCAGCAGGATGTGCTCTCGGGGTCTGGGCCCAATTGATCATTTCTTGTCCAAGGTTGCGCTAGCAAAATGTCAGGGACTGTCTAAGATGGCATCCTTAAGGCTAACTTTCCTGCCTTTTTGTATGTGTATATGTATAAACGGGAAAAGGAGGGTACCTAGGGAAGAGGGGCGTCAGGAAGAGGACCGTTGTGGGCCATCTGGCTGCTTCCTGCTGAGGTGGGGCGTTGTCCTTGGGGTTTAAGTTGTGTTGCGCCATCCTCGGGGTTGAGGCTGAACAGTTGCTGATACTGAAGTTTGTGAAATCTGGATCCCGCGAAGCAGGAGGGTGTTGTTGGCATGTTTTTCTGCACTAGCTCAAACAAAGGCATTTAGTCGTTAGGAGACATAACCAGAAATAAAGTTAAAAAGGGAATGTTCAAAGTTGAGCAAGAGAAGGAAGAATAAAGATCTGAGAAATGGACTAAACAGGACATCCAGTTAGAGAGGGACAACCTGGATCACCATGAGTTGGTGGCTTGTCGTTTGAGCTTTGTCTCTTGAGTTTGAAATCTGTGCGATGCCAGACTCACTGACATAAAAACAGCATTCTTCTTGAATCTGTACACAGATTCCCCCTTTTTCAGCTGTTTGTTAGGAGGTCAAACACTCTCTTATTGTGGAGCATTACCCCTGCTAATGAATTTAGTTGTCTTTGGAGACTGATTATGAATGTATATATATTCTCTAAAGTGTCATAGAGGACTACGGATATTTGTTGAAAATACATGGTTGCGGTAGCTATGCCTGCCACCCCTGTGCCCAAGGTAGTTGAAATACTTAATCCTGCTAGTGAGACTAGGAGTTGATTTGCCCTTTTGGATTTAATTGGAGAGGAAGAGATTGGAGCTGATAAAGGGATTTGAATATCTTGATTATCAGGTAGAATGCTGATGTCTAGGGATTGGTGTATTAAAACACATATCCAGTCCAGTTAGCAGGTAGGCAGAGATAGGAAGAAGTGCAGCATAGGAAAAAAAGTCTTGGAGTGGGAAGACAAAACCTATAGGTGATAGAGTTTAATTATAGGCTTCTATCTGTTTTGTCTACCCAAATGGAATATTTACTTGCAAGTGTAGCTCTGGTGAGGGCCTGGAAGCACATGTTAGTGGGAGAGACTATGAACTCAGATTGTTTAAGGATAAGAAGAAATTGGAGATATTAATGTGAAGCACTGAATTGTGAGAGGTTTAGAAATGTGCAGGCTGATGTGTCTGTAGGTTTTCTATATGGCATTCCCTATGCAACTGTACCTGGTAGGCGATGTTGACAGAGGGACGACACGGAAAAGATCTGAGAATTTTTCATGGCAATGGATGGAGGGCCAGAGAATCCCAGAGAGTATGTCCGGGCTTTGAGGTTTCGTGATTGGTGGTCTTGTGCAGGATGGAGAATGAGTGTATTTTGGCAAAGATGAGGGAGAAGAGTTCTTTAAAAGGACTTGTGAGAAGGATTAGGGAATAAGTGCTGGAGATAAAGAGGTGCTAGGTGGTTAGTAGTATTTAAGAGGTCCCAGATTGGAGGTTTAGGGTGTTTTGGTAGAAAATGGGTTAAGAAAATCTGCAGTTTTTGAATGTGTTTCTAAAATAAAGGCATGAACCCAATTGGGTGAATCCGGCTTTGGAAGTTTGGGAATCGGTCTTTAGGCGATTAAGATCACTAAAAGGTACCAAAAGAGGATCTGCTTGATGTAAATTCATCCTCGTTTGGGCCCAAGTGGCTAGGTTGTCTGGGCTTGGGTTGACATACATAGCCATCAGTTGGAGTTAAATGAAAGCTGTGTGCTATTTAGATTTGGTGAGTGAGACTAATGCAAGAAGCCCAACATTAGAGAACAATGTAACTGAGAAGAAGATATATAAGGTGGCTAGGTTTAGAATAAGAGACCAATGGAGGAGGGGATTGAGTTTCATGGTGTAGTAAGGAGGTCATGAAACAAAATACATGTTAAGAAGGAATACCAAGTGATAAGGTCAGGGGAAAAATCACACAGATCTCCTTGTAGCCAAAGATTGGCAATTGCTGAGAGTAGTTTTTCTACTGAGGTAAGGGGACCATCAAGGGGATAAAAGGCAAGACCATGGTGGAGGATATATAAGAAATTATTGAAGGTGGGGTTCATTAGCTTAGGGCAGCAAGAAAGTCCACAGGGTGTTGCAGTTTTCTGACAGAAATATCTTATAATACAGGCTAAGATGAATATTATAGCAGCAACTATTGGCAGTATTATTAAAAGAACACCCGTATGTATGAAGTCATTAAGGGCCCTTCCCGGCGTTTGACTTAGGAGATTCAGGAAGTTCAGGAACGTTTGTCAGCCGAAGAGAGGTAGGTCCTGTGGGAAATGAAGCATATTTAGGAAGCTTTGACATGGTTGGAGGCATGTGAAATGTAGAATCG